TATATATATATGTATTACTTATAATTACTTTTCGTTAACGAATCGTTTGGATTTCATTGTTAGATCAATTTATATTAAAATTATGTCGCATTTTCAATTAAAAAAAAAAAAAAAAAAAAAAATTTAACTAATTTCTTTTTTCATCATTATTATAATATTTTACGAGATAATATAGAAATATATTCTGTTTGGAAAATAACTTTATTAAATATACATGTGTATAAATTTGTACCTGAAGGTTTTTATTTTGTAATTGGTGAAAGCACAGTATGATCATGCTACTTGATAGTGACGCTTACAAATGATAAATATTCATTTTCTACAATAACAGACCTAAAAGTATAAAGATATACACTAGTAACTTTGATGTTTTACGTACAGAATATTTATTTTGGGATGAGAGAGGGAGAGAAAGAGAGAGAGAGAGAGAGAAAGAGAGAAAGAGAGAGAGAGACAGAGAAAGAGAGAGAATTCGTCCTTATACTCTTGAAAAACATAAACATACTATCTATTTGTCGAAAATAAATATGAACGTGGTTATTGCGGATTTATTTACTTTTTTTTTAGTGCTCTTACCAATCGATCCCTATTATAATACGATGGAAGAGTCAGTGAAAAGAGAGAGAGAGAGAGAGAGAGAGAGAGAGAGAGAGAGAGAGAGAGAGGGGGAAGGAGAGATAGAAAGATAGTGAAAAGTTTTAGTACGATGTGGAAAGCACGGAACGTCGCACACGTCGATTATATCTATACTTTTCTCGTTTCGCTTCCACTATCACGCTTCTATTATAATTACTCGAGCATTTATGCAAATGCGTAACTAATAATAAACGAGCGATGCGTATTCATTGAAATGTTATTAGACTTAATGGACGGCCGTTAGACAGAGTTATAGCATAGTACGAAATAAATTCTTGTATAACATGTACGAGCAAATGGAAAGAGAAAGAAAACGCAGGGAGAAAGAGAAGGAGATAGTTATAGAGAGGGGAAGTAGTTGGAAAGGGGATGAGTGGGGTTGCTTGCGAGTAAGGGTGACTAGTGGTGGAAGAGTACACGACTCGTACGTATAACCAGACTAGCGTTGGCATTCAACGAGAATGACAATGCACACTCCGCTGCACTTGCTGCTTAATGTCATCCTCAAGCCGTGCCTAGTATCATTAGTACACGCGTACATGCTTCTATCTCAACACGAGCGCGCACGTACGTCTTCGTGTGTCCCAGAGTTTCTGTCGTAGCATTCGTGCTACGAGTGTGATATAGAAAGAGAGAACTACGCCGATGACGACGAGGCTTGATATCACTTCATGGATACAATGGCAGTGTAGCGACACACGGCACACCGTTTGCCTCTTGTTGTTCTCCCATACAAGTTTTTCTACATGCTGAACGTAACGCCGCTAGTACGTTGTCCGAGGAACTGTTTTTCTCTTTTCAATGAATGCAGCTAAATCGAAAGAAAAAAAAAAAAAAAAAAAAAAAAAAAGATCTAACGAACGATTTCCTAATAAATTGAAATCGAATTTATAGTTAATTCTGTTTTTTTTGTTTTTTTTTTGTTTTTTTTTCTTTTTTCTTTCTTTCTTTCGATCGATAATATATTTTATTTGATATCTATTTCTTTTATATCCTTTCTCATTTATTTTACGATCGATTCTGTCGAATGAATTATAAGTTAATCCAGCATCGATTATATCAAAATAAGAAATTCTATTCTTCTTTAATTTTTAAATATTTTCCGTATAAAAAATTCTCAATTAACATCAGACCGAGATCGACTTATGGAGATTTTCTTTGAGATCTAATTCGAAAATAATTCGAACCTTTTCTATTCGTATCGAAGATCCAACGAATTTATTTCTTTTTCTCTTCTTTATCAAGATAAATGGGGATAGGTGTATATAGAACGAAGAGGGAGCAAATCAATTTAATCTGATTAATTAACATTTTAATGTTTATTCTGTCTATTTATCTATCTAATTCGTAGCTCGTGTTCGACTTTTCGATTTAACCGTCATTGTGTTTATCTATTATGAAGGTTAAATTTGTTGTAAGAGTAATTTTCGAGATAATAGAAACTAACATTCGCTCGTATGGATGGTAAATAATGGAAAAGTTCTTCCTTGATACAAGTAAATATAAGGATAAAGAAAGTATGTGTGATCTTACTCGACATGCCTCTCTTTGCCTTGTCCAACTTTTTTTTTTGGAGACAAATAAGTACATCGTCGGTTTCTACCCAGGGAAAGCTGACGTCTTGTTCAAGTCTAGTCACGTCACATTGGTGTACATACGGTGTACGCCATGTACGAAGTGACTTGTCCGACTAGAAACTGCCTGCACTACTTAGCTCTGCCGCGTCACAGCATCGATCCGCAACTCTCGTTTCCCCTTCTCATCCACCCTCTTTCTCTCTCTCCCTCTCTCTCTCTCTCTCTCTTTCTCTCTTTCACCTTTGACCGAGTATTACGATCTTCGTTTCGTTTTATTTCCTACTTGAATCTCACAAGAGCAGAAAGTCGTCGAATTAAATGAAATCCAACCTTAAGGAGCAACTTTACGACATCGTTACGTATACAATCGACTAACAAATTATTTCACAGGGGGTTTTATTTTTCTCTTTTTTTTCTTTTTCTTTTTTTTTCTTTTTTTTTTTTTCTTTCTTTTTTTTCTTTTCGCTCGATTCGAGAGAAAGACGTTAAAAGTAAATACGGTACGTCTAATATCAAAGAAATTACGGTAAATACGATAACTAATTTCTTTATCTTTTTCTCTCTCTATTACATACCGTTTGTTACTTATGCTGTCATTGTCTATAAACCGATTAAACGATTAAACTCACATCCGTGACGGACGTCCATCTACAAGTTCGGCCCGATACGATACACGTTCGACCGTTTATACGTTTACAACATCGACTGTTTTGCGAGTGTATAAAGTAGTAGCAGCGTACGTAGTTAAAGATAGGAATATCGAACGCATGAAAGCTACCGGTGAATGAAAAAAAGGAAAGAGATAACAAAAATTGCAAACGAGAAAAGAGAAAGAGAGAGAGAAAGAGAGAACCAGATTCGCGATTCAATTCGTCGAGATTCGCGAATAGTCAGGTCCACTTTCCTGCCGGGTCCATGGAGTATAATATCAAAGCGATGGCAAAACGGATCGAAGTTACGTTCGTTTTTGAACGAAACTTGAGTGCTCAACTAACAGAGCAGGAAAGAGAAAAAAAGAGAGAGAGAGAGAGAGAGAGAGAGAGAAGACGAGAGAAGAGGAAGGAAGAAATGGAAAAAGGCGAAAGAGCAGATAAATTCGTAAAGATTAACCGACTGTATGCGATTAAAGGTTCGAGAACGAAAACGAGTGCAATAGAATACGGAAAATATTCGTAAACGTATAATATTTTTCGATGTTGCAGTTCAATGAAAAAGAAAGAAAGAAAAAGAAAGAGAAAGAGAGAGGGAAAGGGGGAGAGAGAGAGAACAATGAACGAGAGCAAACAAAGCTGCTGGAAACAACGAACCTTGTGACAGGTTTACGGAAAGTTACGCAAAACCATCGCCGAAAGCATCCGGAGGCATGTCTGCGGTAAGTAGTCAAGCAAGATGTTGTTATTCAATTTTGCATTCATTACACAAAAGACAACAGGTTTACGATTCCTGCAAGCTATTCTAGTTATTCTTCGTCGTTACATAGTGTCTCGTTACTTTACCTTCGAAACTACCAACGCCGATATTTACTATCGACGAAAACTTTATATCTTTTCTATCTTATTTTCTTTATCTCTATTTCTCTTTCTCTATTATTCTTCCTCTATCTATTTATCTCTACGTCTGTATCTTTTTTACTCTCTCTTATAACAGTGACGGGATTCTTAACTATCGTCATCTTATCTCTCTCTTTCTCTTTCTTTCTCTCTCTCTCTCTCTCTCTCTCTCTCTCTCTCTCTCTTTGCCGTATACGAAACATAAAACATAATAGGAGAAAGATAAGAATGATATCAAAATTTTCTTCCCCTAATACTTCTTCCCACATAATTTTATTCTTGCGATTAAAAACGAAGAGAATTACAATTCGGTAGTTGGAGCGATTTTTATTTTTATTTTATCCAAATGAGATAATTAATAAGGTCATTTTTATAAAGGAAGAAAAAGAGAAAGAGAGATGTTAAATATATAATGGATTAAAATGGAATTTTCTTAATCGTTAAACATGTCGATCGTTAGAAAATAATTTTTGTCGTTTTATTAGAATTTTAAAATATAGAAAAAAAAAAATACGATTAAATAAAATATAACAATTTCGTATAAGCGTAGAAAAGCCAATCGGTAAAAATGGTAAAGGGTAAAAACGTCACTGTTACGTTCCGATCGTTTTTCGATTACCGATACATCGGAGATTTTTAAAAGTATACGATCGATGCACTCTCGTAAAGACCGACGCTCGGAAGAATCGATAATCGTTTTATCCAGCCCGCTTAGCCCGTTGACCAATTGAGCGAGATACGTTGACGTGGCATATAAAATCTGTTTCCCCGGGAACTGTCCTTGCGAAAAATTCTTCGTCAGGCTCTTCCGAGGGACCACGTCGTGTTTCTTTTTTCCTTTTTTCCGTGTGTCGCTACTTCCATCTGATTTTTTCCAGATCAGCGATCCACTTTCATGCTGGACATGATTTGAAACTGAATATAAGAGGAGGAAAAAAAAACGATCCGACGAAATAATATCATTATGTAGATCGATCGTTTAACCATTGATTCGAACGCCTATGGCAACATTTTATAATATTAAAAAATGAAAAAAATCATCCTGCGAAATTTCGACAGATTCATCGTTCCAAAACGTTTTCACTTGAAAAAGTTTTGTAAATTGACACCCTCATTGTTCCAATATGCACATTTATAAAAAAGAAAAAAAAAATCGTTTATTTAATCGAACAATAAGTGACATTCTTAATAAGAATCTTTCGAATTCTATGTCTCATTTATTCGCATTGAATTATGCACTCCGATATTCTTTCTAATAAAAATAAAAGAATTATACGGAAAGTCCTTTATATCCCTTCTCTTTTCTCTCTCTCTCTCTCTCTCTCTCTTTCTCTGTTTCTGTCTCTCTCTCTCTCTCTTTATTTCACCCTCACTTCCAATCTCTTGTGCTCTTATTTTCGGACAAAAATTCATCTCGGAATAATAGCACAGTCGTATACGAACAGCAAATCTGATTTGACCCACAAATTTGAAGAGAGGGTGAGTTCTGGGAGATACAGAGAACGAGAGAGAGAGAGAGAGAGAGAGAGAGAGAGATAGGGGAAAATAGCTCGTTCGTTCAATGTATAATCGATAGTACCGAATTACGTTATAGTTGGAAAAGTGCATCGCTCCCGGTGCATTCGCGGCAATTCATGTGTAATGATTTCATCGATTATGCTATATGTGCTCTCCATTTTTTCCCCTTACCCTGTTTTAATATTCTCTATACACCGTACAGCATGGGATATTAAGGTATGGTCAATTAGTAAGATTAACGATCGTTGATTTGTCTCTTTGATCGTTACATCGAATTTCGTACGATTAAGATACTTTTGATGCATTATATTTTTCTTTAAATCTCATTAATTGACATTTAAAATGAAAATTCAGATAGGAAGGAATTTGTGGAATTTAAATATCTTTTTCTTTTTTTTTTTTTTTTTTTTTTTTAACGTACTAAACTTTTCTTCAAATCTTATTAATTGATATTCAAAATGAAAATTCGAATAGGAAGGAATTTAGGGAATTTAAATAATCTCAATCTTTTGTATTATATATAAATGACCGTAAAATCAAAAGCTCTTAACGGAGTCTTTATTAAAGCCTATTAAATACGTCAAATAAAAGCTTCGTTTATTTTCTTTTTATTTGATTTTTCTTTTTTTTTTTTATATATTCATTCAAATATTTGCGAGATAAAAAAAATAACAGAAGCACAAAAAAAGAAAATTCCTTTTTCGCCCATTATTTACGAGATTTTTTTCTTTCCCTCTTTCTCTCTGTTTTTTTTTCTTACCCTCCCCCCTCATCATTTTATTAAATAATTAATTCTATAGATCATTGCGTTTAATATATCATCGTTCCTTTAATTAATTTGCTTCGTTGTTAATTTTCGTGGCCATACGACACTTCAATAATTTAAACAACGGCAACATGAACGTTCTCTGCCATATATACTCCAGACAATTTTTAACATTACCTCGTCGAGACAAACATAATATAGCGATGTAAATGTTGACCAAATTTGTGTCGAAACCAGAAACGCGGTAGTTTCCATGCGTTCGACTAGAAATCAAGAAAAAGCTAACAGTACAAACAAGCGAAGAAGAGAGTCCGTAAAAGAAAAAGGAAAGAAAGGGGAAGGAAAGTCTTACAGAGACGGTGAACCATCGAACAATATTCTACAATACTTTACGAGTCGTGGAACTTTAAATAATTCTATTGATAGCGATGAGAAAAACGTTGTATATCGATCGATGAAAAGTGAAGAAGAAAAAAGAAGTGAAGGAAGAAAAGCAAAAGAAAAAAAAACAAAAAAAAAAAAAAACAAAAAAAGAAAAAATAAGAAAAGGGATGAAAATCCATATGAAAGTTATTATTCTTAAATACGAGGTAAATACTTATGTAAATGAAGTAAAAAAAAAAAAAAAAAAAAAGGAGTATACGATAAGAGTGTAAGAAGAGACGTTATAATATACGAAAAAATCGGCATACGCTATTAATAAGTGCATTATTCTTTCGAGCTTACATCGAGTAGTTTTTCTTTAATTTCGAGCTTCACCATGACACTCCCCGAAGTCTTTTGATATAAACGAACAACGAGATTCTTCTCTTTTCCCTCTATTTCTACTTTTAACTCAAAGAACGCGCGATAATGCAACATTGAAAGGTAATAGTGACGATAACAATAACATATTTTTGTAGCAACCGCTAAAAATAGAATGGACAAAGAAGGGCAAAAGACGGACGTTACGCCCATACGAACGTTGTTTTTAAGGACAAAGTAAACCTTTCGTAGGCACCCGATAGAAAAGCATCTTTGTATTTTTCCCGCTTCCAGAATCGAGTAAACGACGAAGAGGGAACGATGGTGGTAGCAATGCGTTACTCTCTCTCTCTCTCTCTTTCTCTCTCTCTTTCTCTCTTTCTTCTTTTCTTTGGCTATTCTTTTGATTCGTCCCGTCTCTTCTTCAGTCTTTTCGACCCTACAAAGGAGAGAGTTTGTATTCACAGAACGGTGTGTGCATCGCGTTACATACGCATCCCAAGCGATGTGTAAATGTAAAGGGGGATCTAAGGGGAAACTATGAGAAAAACTCACTAGATACCCAAGGGAAGACGCCCAAACATCGCCACAACCTTGCGATGCACCAGGGAAACTCTCTTTCCCTTTAACTCTCTCTCTGTCTCTCTCTCTCTCTCTCTCTCTCGCTCTTTTTCTCTCTCTTCTTGTCTCCCTTGCTCTCGAGTTTCCAAACAGGAGAAAGAGAGAAGGCGAATTGCCAAAGAGGAGACGCCCGAGAGATAGAGAGAGGGTGGCTCGAACCTTCGAAACGACGTCGTCGCTCGAACGACTGACCCGACCTTTAAGCTATCTCCGTAATTCGCTCCTGAAACGAAGCGGCGATCCCTTCGTCGAAGAAATGTCGCCTTTGTACCCGAACGTTTATACTATCCTCTACGATGACATCCCTCTCGATTTGCCAACGGGCAATACGATATCTTGATTTTCTCTCGCTAAAATTAAATTGCTGTAAGTGCCGTGTTATTCGAAACTACCGTCCACTTTTCCATCTTTTACTAACATTATCTCTCCCTTTTCCTCCCTCCCCCCATACCCCCTTCCTACTGCCCTACCCCTCCCCCTCCTTCCTCGCAATGCCACCATCTACAAAATTTTCTGCGTATGTGATTGAAACTTGAGAACTTTTATTACTTTTTCGAATATCCCGTAAAAATGTTTAATTCAGATCGAAAGGAAACGAAAAAGAAGAAAGGAAAGAGAAAAAAAAAAAAAGAAAAAAGAACAGAAGTCCCACGAAATATCTTTTTGTAGGGCAAGCATTTAATCCTTTGGTCTCGGTAATATTTTTAAATATGAGCGTAATACTTTCCCCTAGTTTTTTTACCATCTCTTTCCTCTTCACAATTTTTATCCTCTTTTTACTTTTCATTTTGGGGTTGACTATAAACGTTCCGCATAGCAGATTAGCCGCCGGTGAAAAGTGTTGCGTTTAAAGTGTAATCCAGATCTGCCCTCGCTCGAGTTTCGAAAACTTTCGCTCTCGTTACCCCCTTCCCTCTTCATTCTTCTAGCACTCTTTATTGCTTTATCCCTTTGTTCCAGTTAAGTTGCTCGATAAAGCAGCGTTCAACCGTACCTAGCCCTTTCTCTCTCTTTCGTCCTTTTTATTCGGTTACTCTATGGCTCACTTAAGTCCAACCCTCTGTTCTCTACCTATTTGTCTCTTCTTCTCTTTCTCTCTATATCTCTTACTCTATTTCTATCTCTTTAATCTTACTATATCTACCAACTCTTCCGAAAGATATTCTTTGGCATTTGCTTAATTTCTTAAAGTTCTCTTTCTTCTATGTTATATCCATGGTGGTGGAAGCTTTGTTTCCAAGTCGACCCTCTTCCAAAATTGCACGTAAACTCGCGATCTTCGTCTAGGTTCTTCGAAGGTCTCGGGTTAAATAGCCTTGGCATGCCACGATCATTTTATCCATACAATATCATCATTTGAACGCATTCCTTCTTCTTCATTTTACATCGAAAGATAATAGAAAATAACATTGTGAAATTTTCATGCAGCGTAATTATTGAAAAAAAAAGAAAAATAAAAAAGAAAAAAAAAATCCAACGCCATTGTTCCCATTATCGTATTTGATCTTTTGTTTTGATGATAAAATAAATAGCACTTAATTTCTATTCGAATTCATTGTTTCAAAGACAGAAATATATACGTTACTCAAGTTCAGATGATAAGTTATTTGTCGTTAATTTCTATATGATTCATATATATCATATTTCTTTATGATTATTAATCCTTATCACTCTAAACTGCAGTAATAATCCTAATAATATATTCTTTGTTTCCGACATTTATTTTTACGGAACATTTATGAACATTCTTACTACTAAAGAACCATCTTAAAAATTATATCCATAGCATGTAAATATTCATGAAATTTATTTGTGGTTAGCTAATAAACATGCTATAATATTTTTCGAGTGATAAAGAGTTTAAATTAACAGTAATTTCTTGCTACGAATAATCTCGCAACAATGGAAGATTTTTTTTTCCGTTCGACCACGAATGATCGTAAAATCAACGTTCGTTCGTATGACACTAATAACATTTATTTGATATCGATATCAACTTCTGGCTTTTTGCCAGAGAGTGTCTCGAATTTTTCGATGACCATTTCGATGAGAAAAACGAGGTAACGAACGAATTCACAGCACAACCTGATAAGAGTAAAGAATTCTCACAGTAGCGAATGCAACTCACACCATATCGAGTTTCGTGTCTTTTAATCGTGCGACGTTTATTCCAAGCGAAACCACCTCGGCAAGGTATATAATGTAGGAATGCTCAAAGAGAGGATGGTTAACACGATGGTAGTGGTAAAAAGTGGAGGTAGGAATGAGGATGGGATAGCTTACCGATGCTAGTTGAAATTTTAACGAACGTCCAACTTCTTGAGGGCACAGACGATCGACTATCGTCTACTCTATCTTTTTGCTTGCTTTTTAGAAACACGTTGCTGAGATATTATCTTCTCTCTCTCTCTCTCTCTCTCTCTCTCTCTCTCTTTTTCCTCTCTCTATCTATCTATCTTTCTCTCTCTCTCTCTCTTTCCATCGTTTGCTTTACGTCCAACATCCGCACTCAATGACAGCAACGATGGAGCTCGCGGCAAGTCAAGAGTACCGAGTCGTGAGACGTGCTTCGAATATACTAAGAAGAT